CAGCTACCTCAAATTTTTTAATTAGCTGGCGAATTAATGGGGAAGCACTCTGCGCCGAGAAACCATTGAGTTTTTCATAGCGCTGCGACTTTCGTCGCATTTTTTATTTTTTTATTACAGAGATTAAGGAATAAAACAGGGGTTGAAGGATGGGGAATGTAAGTCTCCATCGAACAGCATTGGTTTCACTCCTTAATGTTAATTAGGAGCAGAGATACGACTTTTTAATTACCGGGCGAGTTGTCGGGAGTCACTGCGTCGAGAAACCATTGAGTTTTTCATAGCGCCGCGATTTCGTCGCAGTTTTTATTTTTTTATTACAGAGATTAAAGAATGAAACGAGGGTTGAAGGATGGGGAATTTAATTCTCCATCGAACAGCATTGGTTTCATTCCTTAATGTTAATTAGGAGCAGAGATACGATTTTCTAATTAGCGGGCGAGTTGTCAGGAGTCACTGCGCCGAGAAACCATTAGGTTTTTCATAGCGCTGCGACTTTCGTCGCAGTTTTTATTTTTTCATTACAGAGATTAAGGAATGAAGCGGGGGTTGAAGGATGGGGAATTTAATTCCCCATCGAACAGCATTGGTTTTATTGCTGAATATTAATTAGGAGAAATGAGACGATTTTTTAATTAGCGGGGGAATTAATGGGGAGTCACTCTGCGCCGAGAAAACATTGGGTTTCTTATAGCGCCGTGACTTTCGTCGCAATATTAATTTTTTTATTGCAGAGATTAAGGGATGAAACGAGGGTTGATGGATGGGGAATTTAATTCTCCATCGAACAGCATTGGTTTCATTCCTTAATGTTAAGTAGGAGGGGTGCGACGATTTCCTTAATTAGCGGGCGAGTTGTCGGGAGTCACTGCGCCAAGAAACCATTGAGTTTTTCATAGCGCCGCGACTTTCGTCGCAGTTATAATTTTTTCATTAGAGAGATTAAGGGATGAAACGGGAGTTGTTGGGTGGGGAATTTAATTCTCCATCGAACAGCATTGGTTTCATTCCTTAATGTTAAGTAGGAGGGGTGCGACGATTTCCTTAATTAGCGGGCGAGTTGTCGGGAGTCACTGCGCCAAGAAACCATTGAGTTTTTCATAGCGCCGCGACTTTCGTCGCAGTTATAATTTTTTCATTAGAGAGATTAAGGGATGAAACGGGAGTTGTTGGGTGGGGAATTTAATTCTCCATTGAACAGTCTTTGTTTCATCCCTCAATATTAATTAGTCGGCGAATAAATCAACCGAAAAACATAAAGTAAACGTTGAGTACAAGGAGGACAAAAGGACCCCTCCGAACCTGTCCCTGTGACAGCGGGACTGCTACTGCCGAGTTACTCACGCACCCGACGCACATTTACCGACAATTCGACCGGGACGCCGCCTTTCCCGTGGGGTACCAACTAACTTTTTTGGAGTCAGTCAAACCCCCCGATCCGGGCCTCTACTCAGGTCTATCCTCTTTGTGCCCGTCCTTCGCCAAACTTAACGAGTGCGAGTGAGGAAGAAAATGGAGAAGAAGGAGAGAGAAAACATTCCAACTCGTTTGAACGGTTGGAACGTTTTCGTTGTTCTCCAGCGATCTACACATAATGGGATTAATTCCATAAAAATAGATTAATGAATAAGATTTTTCGCAGATTATTGCGAGATTTAAATGAATGGTTTGCCTCCTTCAGTGACCATAAAAAATTGTCTCTAATCGACAATATCTCCCGATGGAATGGAACGATGTGAATGAATCGAGTATCAATTTGAATATTCAAAAAATTAATCGAGAGTGAAAAATAATCAGGGAATTCCACTCTGCCTGTTATAGTTTGGGCAGTCGATAGAGTAGAAAACCCTACAGAAGTAATTTTCTACTTTCTTTCAAGTTTCAAAAGTTGCCTACATTGCTTAACGTATTTTCTGGGCTAGTTATTATGGCACGGCGTTCGCGTCATGTCGCACATTGTAAAACAATAATCTCTTTTCGAGTAATTAATACAGTCATTCTGCATAAAATACAAAACGAAGTATATCCATCGATTATTTACACCCTCCACAACATTTTGGCGACCGTGACAGGACGAGTAATCGTCGGATCGTGGCTGTAACGATGGATAACCCCAAGAGAACTCGCGCAGCAAAGCGAGCAGCGTTCACTAAGACGCACACAACGTTGACAGCAGTTCTACAACAAGATAACCCCAATATTAACAATGTCAGAGCATATTTGGCTATCTTAGCAGAGAGATCGACAGAACTGCAAGAATTAAATCAAAATATTTCAGCGGAAATGGTAAACAGTGAAGCAACCACTGAAGCAGAATTGACAGGTAAATTCAATTCGTGTGACGAATACCAGCTGAAATTTCAGCAAATAAAACGCGAAGTACTGCAAGTGACTGAGACAGCTCAACGTCCAGGTGTCCCCGTGTTTTACGTCAATCAGCCAGATCCAGCGACAAATCAGAGGTTTAGATATCCAAAAATGGAGATTCCAAAGTTTTCTGGAGACATGAAGGACTGGCTTCAGTTCTGGAGTTTGTTCAAGGGTATTCACGATGATGTCACTATGCCTAAGGAGCAAAAGTTTAGTTATTTGGTTCAAGGAGTTGTTGAGGGTTCAAGAGCGAGAGAGGTAATTGACAGTTTCCCACCATCGGCAGAAAATTATGATGAGGCGATATCTGCATTGAAAAATCGTTTTGGAAAAAAAGAACTTCTCGTGGAAATGTATATTCGTGAGCTACTCAAACTCGTATTGAGCAATGCCTTTTACAAGGACGACAAAAGACCATTGTCAAGCACTTATGACAAATTAAAGACTCAACTCAGGGCTTTAGAGTCACTGGGAGTGACTATAGACATGTGTGCAGCAATGCTGTATCCCCTGGTGGATCCAGCAGGGGGGGAACTGCTGTCTTCGTTACCAGAGGAGTTACTGAAGGCTTGGCAGCGCCACTCAACATCACTACAGATCCCTAATGCCCACGTACGTCTTGCGAAGTTCATGGACTTCTTAGAAGCCGAGGTTATGTTCGAACAGCGTATCGACATGGCAGTACAAGGTTTTGACATCACTCCAACCACCCAGCAGCAGAGTAAAGACACTAAGAACAACGACAAGAAAAAGAAAGTCAAGATTGAGAATGGACCCATAGCTACAGCAGCAGGATTGCTCAACACAAAAGGTCAGACAGTGGATTCATGTATATTCTGTGAGCAAAATCACAAAAGTCACAGTTGTGAGAAAGCGAAAAAAAATGACAATGGAAGAACGTGTGGAAATCATGAAGAGCACAAATGCCTGCTTTAATTGTTTAAAAACCAATGACTCTTGTAAGTTCTGCAGATATCGCGAAAAATGTCCTTGGTGTGGTAAGAAGCACATACTGTCGATGTGTAAGCTCGTGGGTAGTACATCAGCTGTTGAGGACAAATCCAAGGTCAAACCAACTGAATAGAATCTTGCCAGTTTTTCAACAGACATGGAAATATTCCTTCAAACACTGAAGGTCAAACTGGTCCGAGGCAGCAAGGAGAAAGTGGTCAGGGCGATCATTGATTCAGGGTCGCACCGTTCATATGTTTCAGGGCCAGTAGCAAAATTTCTAGGGTATGAAATGGTGGAACGTCGTACTCTGATCCATTCACTGTTCGGTGGTACCCTAACACAGCCTCAAGAGCATAAGGTCTACAAGATTCATCTGAGGAACATGGATGGTTCATACGCCTGCAATTTTACTGCCTGTCACCAGGACACCATCTGTCAGAACATCTCGAAAATTAAGAAAGGGCCCTGGATTGATGAATTGCACGGGAAAAATATACATCTAACTGATGTGGGACCAGGGGAACAGCCCATTGAATTACTCTTAGGAGCAGACGTAGCAGCTAAGCTTTACACAGGTAAAATGTTGAATCTAGACTGTGGGGTCACAGCAATAGGAACACGTTTGGGTTGGACTTTGATGGGCAAAGTAAAGTCGCATGCAGTTGACACAACTTCGACAATGACCACACTCTCGATGTTCACTCAAGATGCCGATCTATCAGCTCTGTGGAGCTTGGATGTCCTGGGTATGATGGACCCCGTTCAGAGAAACGAAAGCTGCTCATGAAAAAGAAGTTCGGTATGAAGTGGTGCTCCCCTGGAAGGTGAATCATCCTCCTCTGGTGGACAATCGACCTAGTGCTGAACACAGACTCAAGAAGACCATCAACACCCTCAAGTCTCTCAATTTGTTAGACGATTATCAACAAGTGTTCGATGAATGGATGCAGGAGGGTTACATTGAACAAGTTCCTGTATGTGAAGTGCCACGTGTCAGCTATTATTTGCCTCATCGTCCGGTAGTAAAAGAGGGGAGTTCTACGAGAATCAGACCAGTGTTCGATGCCTCAGCACATGGAAAGGCTGGACCATCCTCTAATGACTGTCTGGAGACTGGACCCAATCTCATCGAGCTCATCCCAAGCCTGTTGATGAGATTTCGCGAGAAAGAAGTGGGAGTCATCGCTGACATACGTAAGGCCTTTCTTCAAATCAGTATTGCCCCCGAAGAACGAGGTCATTTGAGATTCCTGTGGTACAGAGATGCTGATCCTGAGAAAGTAATCGTATACAGGCATCAGCGAGTTGTTTTTGGGGTCTCAAGCAGTCCGTTCATTTTGGGTGCTACGTTGAACCTCCACATTGACTCAGCACTCAGAGATGCTCGAGCTGAGAGTGAGAAATCTGTCCTGCGTAAACTAAAGGAGTCTTTTTACGTGGACAACTGCGTGATCAGTATTGACTCTCACGAGGAGGCTGGAGAGTTCCAGAGAATAAGCTCAAGTGTGTTGGAGTCCGGTGGCTTTGATCTACGAGCATAGGAGTACTTAGGATTGAAGAAGACAGAGCCGGAATCGTCCGTGCTGGGCCTACGTTGGCATCGAGAAGAGGACACTCTGTCACTGGTCAATCCACTCGTACAGACAGGCGAGCCATCCATCATCACGAAGAGAACGATGCTCTCATTTACTCAGCAGTTGTTTGACCCACTCGGTATGATTTGTCCAGTTGTTATTTGTCCTAAAATCCTTCTTCAACAGGTTTGGGCTAAGGGTTTCGACTGGGATGTCAGAGTCGATGATGATGTTCGTGATGCCTTTGTTCTCTGGATGGACCAATTGACTTGGCTTAAAGAAGTGAAGATCCCACGCTTTCTATTCAAAGCGGAGGAGGAAGCATCCAGAATTTCTCTCCATGCATTCGTAGATGCAAGTAGCTTGGCTTACGCAGCTGTAATTTTTGCCAGAGTAGAGAGCAACAACCGCGTTGAAGTCGAGTTTGTCAGTGCAAAAGCAAATATTTCTCCTAAAGAAACCACAATACCTCGACTTGAATTGCTGGCAGCAACGGTGGCAGCAAGGCTGATGCACTCGGTGGTCTCTGCTGTTCCAGATTTACATTGTGAGTTGTATTATTGGACAGACTCCAGTACAGTACTAACCTGGATACAAAGGAATAAACAGTGGGCAACCTTTGTCTGGAATCGTATCCAGGAGATTCGCCAATTGACGGATCCAGAGCAGTGGTCCCATGTACCTGGAGTCTCTAATCCAGCAGACTTGGCATCGAGGGGCTGCACAGCTAAACAATTGGTGGATTCAAGGTGGCGTCGGGGACCAGAGTGGTTAAAGTTGCCTCCTGAACAGTGGCCTCAAGCAGTTGAACCTGTTGATGAGAACGAGGTCAACATGGAGATGAAGAAGGCCACTAAGAAGCTCAGGACCCCAAAGACTGCTATAACATTAATCACTGCCTCCAATTCATCGCAGTTGAACCCAGAGAACAACCAGCCCCCTTGGTATTTGAGGAAGTATTCGAGGTACTCTCAAATCATTCGTCTCGTTGCTTGGACTCTACGATTTGTCAACAACTGTAGGAACAAAGAAAAGATTCGCATCCAGACGTTGACAGCGCAAGAACTACAGTCAGCAGAGTATGCAGTCTTCAAAATGGTACACTCTGAGTGTTTTAATTGGGAGAAAGATCCTCGTCTAAGTGATCTGGTGGTTTACAGAGACGAGATGGGTCTCTTACGACTCAAGACACCAGTAGCATATCGTGACGACTCCATGGGCTTCCGGTGTCCAGTGATTCTGGATCGTGGACATTTGTTGGTGAACAGGTTGATTGAAGATTGTCATCTAGAACTCAAACATGGTTCCATTGACACCACTCTCAATAAACTAAGGGAACGAGTATGGATATTATCCAGCAGACGAGCGGTACAATCCGTTGTGAGGAATTGTGCGAGGTGTAAGAGATATACTGCCAAGAGACTGGAATCTATCTCAATACCTCTTCCAGAAAATCGAGTGAGAGATGCAAGTGCCTTCGAAGTTTCTGGTGTTGATTTGGCAGGTCCACTGTTTCTCAGAGATGGAAGCAAGAGCTGGATTGTCTTGTTTACCTGCGCAGTCTACCTGGCCATTCACCTGCAATTGCTGTCTACCCTCTCTACGGACTCCTTTTTGGAGGCACTCAGACGATTTATAGCTCGTAGAGGACGTCCTGCTGTGTTATATAGTGATAATGGCACTAACTTAGTTGGTGCATCCAATGCTCTGAGAAGTTTGGACTGGGAAACGATCNCCACTGTTTCTCAGAGATGGAAGCAAGAGCTGGATTGTCTTGTTTACCTGCGCAGTCTACCTGGCCATTCACCTGCAATTGCTGTCTACCCTCTCTACGGACTCCTTTTTGGAGGCACTCAGACGATTTATAGCTCGTAGAGGACGTCCTGCTGTGTTATATAGTGATAATGGCACTAACTTAGTTGGTGCATCCAATGCTCTGAGAAGTTTGGACTGGGAAACGATCATAACTCAGGGAGCTTCAACACGTATTGACTGGCGGTTCAACCCTCCCTCAGCAGCCTGGTGGGGTGGATGGTGGGAGCGAATGGTGAGAATGGTGAAGGATCTCCTGAAAAGAACGTTGGGAAAGGCTTCCCTCACCTTCGAGGAAATATCCACTATCCTCTGTGACTGTGAGGCGATCATCAATGCACGTCCTCTCACCTACCTAGCAGAAGACCCCGAACAGCTCGTACCTCTCTCTCCAGATATGTTTCTCAGAGATCTTCCTGATTATGGAGTACCTGATCTTGATAAGGTGGACTCCACTTCTCTGAATGCAAGAGTCAAGTATCACCAGAGATTACGAGAGGAACTACGTTCACGATTCCGAATTGAATACCTTGGACAATTGAAGCCACATGGGGTCACCAAGCCAGCTGTCATCGAGATCAAGGAAGGAGACGTTGTATTCGTGGGGAGTGACAACGTTAAGAGGCTGGAATGGCCTCTTGCCCGAGTCGATCAAGTATTCCCAGGGAAGAAGGGGGAAATTCGAGTTGTCAAACTCAAGACAGCAAATGGTTATGCCACGAGACCCATCCAGAAGCTGTATCCATTGGAGATGTCAATGAGCGAGACTGAGGAAATTCTCCGAGCTTCAGACGCTGAGCCAGAGAACTGGCATACAGTGCCTTCGGCCTCTAAATTTCGTCGTGCCGGCACCGAGAAAAAGAAGAAATTGGAAACCAAAGCTGCTGAAGTCCTGCCAGGAGTGGAGGATCGCAAGGTGCTAACTAGAAATGGACGGGTGGTAAAAAAACCCCCGAGACTGATAGATTGAGAAAGGGTGGAGTTGAGAGTCTATGTTTTGTTTCCATATATTTAAAGGTTTAAATTTAAAGGTTTATTAGTTGAATTGTCTAGCTGACAATCCAAGGTGGGAGAGATGTTATAGTTTGGGCAGTCGATAGAGTAGAAAACCCAACAGAAGTAATTTTCTAGTTTCTTTCAAGTTTCAAAAGTTGCCTACATTGCTTAACGTATTTTTTGGGCCATTTTGTAAAAAATTTCAAGTGACGATTTCGGTGTCTGGCCGAGTTCGCTATTTCGGTAACTCGGCAGTAGCTGTCCCGCTGTCACAGGGATGTGACAGGCTGTTTCGGAGGGGAATTTATGCCCTTCTCGTCCTCAACATGTTCTTAATGTTTTTCAGGTGATTCATTTGCTGGCTAATTAATATTAAGGAATGAAACCCAGACGGTGTGATGGAGAATTAAATTCCCCATCAATCGATCCCCGTTGCATCCCTTAATCTGTGTAACAAAAAAATACAAACTACGACAAAAGTCATGGGCCAGCGAGAAAAATAATTTTCTTCTCGGCGCACAGTGAGTTTTCACCATTCGCCCGCGAATTACAAATTTGTCTCTCCCCCTAATTGAAATTAAGGGATGAAAAAAAGGCTGTTTGACGGAGAACTAAATTACCCATCAATTAACCCTCTTTCATCCCTTAATCTCTGTAAAAAATGGAAGAAACTGTCATGGAAATCACAGCGCAGTAAGAAAAATAATTGTTTTGCGGCACACAGTGACTCCCGGTAATTAAAAATTCACCTCTCCCCTCCTAATTGAGTTTAAGGGATGAAAAAAAGGAGAGTTCGACGGAGAATTAAATTCTCCATTAATTAACCCTCTTTCATCCCTTAATCTCTGTAATAAAAAAATAAAAACTGCCATGAAAGTCAGGGGCCAGTAAGAAAAATAATTTTTTCGCGGCGCACACTGACTTTTCACCATTCGCCCGCGAATCAAAAATTCACTTCTCCCCTCCTAATTGAGATTAAGGGATGAAAAAAGGGCAGTTCGACAGAGAATTAAATTCTCCATTAATTAACCCTCTTTCATCCCTTGATCTCTGTAACAAAAAAATAAAAACTGCCATGAAAGTCAGGGGCCACTAAGCAAAATAATTTTTTCGCGACGCACACTGACTTTTCACCATTCGCCCGCGAATTGAAAATTCACTTCTCCCCTCCTAATTGAGATCAAGGGATGAAAAAAGAACAGTTCGACGGAGAATTAAATTCTCCATTAATTAACCCTCTTTCATCCCTTAATCTCTGTAAGAAAAAAATAAAAACTGCCATAAAAGTCAGGGGCCAGTAAGAAAAAGAATTTTTTCGCAGCGAACACTGACTTTTCACCATTCGCCCGCGAATTAAAAATTCACTTCTCCCCTCTTAATTGAGATTAAGGGATGAAAGAGGGTTAATTAATGGAGAATTTAATTCTCCGTCGAACTGCTTTGAGTCGGTGGCACGGATGAATTTGAAATGGGTTATAATGAGTAGTTCAAAAATGCGGTAATTCAGTCTTTTTTTTATTGACTATCTACAAACACTGTAATGATCAACAAACAGGGAAAATAGTATAATAAAATAATAGATAGTGTTATTTGCCTCACGACTCTTAAAAAAGAAAATAATTTTATCAATAACTTTTTTACTTTTCGTAACTCGGGGTTTATTCATGTCATTTCGTTCTGATAATACTTGTGTCAATCCTCCTTTTTGTTTACTCGCTGTCAACAACACGTCAAATGAGATACCAGAGTTGGCAATTTTTTTTAACATGTCAGATACATTACTCTTTAAAACCATTAAGGTAATAATGTCAATCCTTTTTCTTTGGTAATTTCCGATACGATACACTCCAAGTACGACTTTTTTGCAAGGAGTAATTGTTCCTTGGTTATTAATTTCTCTGACAATGTTTGTAAAACTTCAACATCAAATAGTGCTTCATGGAAATTGCCACTAATTTCCAGAAAACCTTCTGCTAACTTGCCTAATTTCATCATGCCAGTACCTTTTCTTTCTGGGAACATTTTTTTAAATAGTGGTAAAGATTCGGTGAACCGAACAGGTTAGGAGTCACACGAAGAGAGACACACTAAGAGAGAGATACACTGCGCGTGGTTGCCACGATCGACACCATTCGGCGTTAGCTGTATGCGCACGTATTCATGTATAGTACATTCATGTATGCGTGAACCGAGTCGAACTGTACATCAGCAAAAGTTTTTGTTTTAAACCGGGTTCTTCGTTTAGCCGGATACCAGCCCAAAGCGTGGAAAATTTCAAGTGTGACTCTCTCGCGACAACAACCTTAAGGAATATTTTCGCTATTGTCCTCGTGTTTTCAATAACACCTGAGGAATTGGATCAGTTTAGCCTTGTAATCAAAGCGATTGCAATTATATTATTTTGTTATTACGATGTCAGATCGGATTTTTTAGTTTTCTTTGGTTTTATTAGAAGAGCGATGATTGTTATGGAGAATTTTCGTTTCTTTTGGAAATTAGGTAAAAGTATGTAAATTATTTATTTTTTTGAAAATTTCAATAGTGGACCATGTAAGGAAAATGTGTGTTTTCGATCATTTTTGGTTTTCTGACCTCCCGATAACCTCGTTCCCACCCGAAATCTATCCCTCTCTCCACAAGCTAGCATACTGAGCGACCCGTGGACCGTGACCAGCCCCCTGACACTAAATCCAATGCCCCTATACAATACGCGTGTCCGCATTATCGAGGCTGTTTCTGACGGCCACAACGCGGCGCTGAATTACACCTGACTGACCTNACCTGACTGACCCCCTCCATTCTCCCAACTGCCGCCATTTCTCTGCTCTGTTTTAAAGGAAACGCCGGAATAACTCGTATTGTATGGTTTGAAAGTGAGATTAAACTGACATAATTATGCCTACTTGTGCAGTCGCTAATTGCACATCAGGGTATCAGTCTAATCCCAACAAATTCCATTTCTTCACGGTTCCGAAAGCGCGAAAACCGTCAGAGTGGGGGATAATTGTGAAAAGTGGGGAGCCGTCAGATGACTCTCCGCGCCATCTGTAATGGCTTCAATATAAGGGACACTGAAAACAGTGTGTAACAGGGGGCTGACCGTGACCTTTCCCTAAAAATCTAGTTCTCTTCGTTTTTGGTTTATCGTTTAGGAATTTCCTGAGTGTTTGGACTCGAAATTCGTGCACTTCCGATTTGATAATTCCGGCTAAAAAATTATCTGGCGCCCATTATCCGTTTTATTTTCAGTTAACTAGATTTAGGTGCAGAAGGGCGAAGGTAATAGGCATTTTTAACCCCCATGCAAAAATGTCACGTTACATTATACAAAGTGTTCGAAATATTCCCCTTTTTCTTGTTATGTCAAGGATGAATGTTTTTATTCAAAAGTTAAAGTAAAATAAAAATATTAAATTCAGCCTTGACATAAACCAAATTCCTACTTATCAATCAAGATAATTGAAGGAATTAATTTTTAAGTGATGCAAAATATTTGAAAATGTTGAACAAATGAATTGAACAATTATTCCATTTATCTGGAATTCAAGAGAAATTTATTTGAGGGAAGAAATAAAGTTTTTTTTGGAAATAGAAAGAAATTAGAGCTTAATTAAATTGATTCTTACGAATCTATATTTTAAAGACAAAATTTCACTTCACGAGAAATACAAATGAAATTAAACAACTTACGTAGTTTTACAGGAATTGACCCTTTGGTCCGTCGTAATCCTTATTATATGTACAATGGTTGCCGCCAAATTCGAGTTTATCACAATTCGATTTTAAACACTTAACTGTCTCGATATAAGCCAAATTGCCTCGATAACTACTTTTACAATTTTAGAATTATAAGATGAAATCTTATAAGATTTGAATAATAAAAAAAATATAAAAAGTCGTAAACGACTTACTGAAAGAATCACGAAGGATTCTTGAATAAAAGAATCTGGAAAGATTCTTGAGTAAAATCACCCAAAGGGGAGATTGAAAAGTTCACTATTGGAACTGAGCAGGGAACACTGAAGAAAAACCCGGAGTGCAAGTGGTTTTATGAACCGCACTAAGGGTGTGACCTTGGACACTTCTGGAGGGAAAACTCGGGGCCAATGGTGCACGACCTTGGTCCAGAATTTCCCTCTACAGGCTCATCAGTCCCAGTGTTTCAGGGTTACTCCACCCCTTCCCCATTGGGTTACTCAAATTTTTGTTGGGGTGCGGGCGGACTTTTCCACCCCCAACTAACCAATGAGAATTGTTTCAGGAGTCCCAATATGTCCCTCCACAATCTCTAATTTAATTATCTTAATTAATTAATTCTACATTATTTTAATTTATAATTAGCGATAATTATTTCTTATTATTAACCATTTATTTTGGGTGTCGTCTTTATCTAACAGTATAAAGTTAAGTCAACACTTGAATCTCTCAATTGGATCAGTTGATTAATTCTTGCTCTGATCATTCAAGTATTCTCCAAATTGAGGATCTTGATATGATTAATTATTTTAGTTTTAATTCAATTGTAATTGAATGGATTGAGAATTTTATTATATTTGGAATTTGCTTTAATTGAATCATTATTTTTTTTAATCAATCAAAATTCTCAGAGTTAAGGATTTCTCATTAATTTTCAATCCGATCAATTGTTAATTTATTTATGTAAAGCATTTTTAAAAGAATTATTCGAAGTTGAAAATATTATTTCATTTTTATTTATCATTCCAAATTCCAGTCGAGGGTACACACAAGTGTCCCTCGATCGTTGGCATCTCCTGTTTACCTTCCTTATCCGCCGGGTGGATGCATAGAGGGCGTAGGGGCATGGGAGAAAGTCCATGTGCAACGGAAAATTCTGAAGATTACAGAGTCTGGTAACAAACCTTCGACCCTAAGTCGGCGACATGCAGTGGCCTGCAAGTCACAAAATATACGAAATATAGCCAGAGACAAACACTTGAAGAATGTTTGGTGGTT